TTACTATATTATCTATCCAATCTTAACTTTTTTTAATAAGTTAGTCATGTTGTCCTAAACCTTCCTCATTAATACTCTGAAGTTACATTGTGTTTCTTGCATACCTAGACTTTAGCTACAAAAGAAGCCCAAGGAAGGTAATGCTATGGTATTTTGTAATATATTTTTAAAAGTAAAATGTGTTTCATAAGAAAAAAAGTGGATATAATAATTATTATATTCATATATAATTGTCAGCAATTTATAGCCAATTTATCAATGACCATGCAGCTGCACTCATTGTAGTTTAAAAAAACAAAACAAAAACAAAAACAAAAAACCCCCACCTCATATAATGTTTACATAGTCTTTGAAAGCGTAGCATCTTAGCAGGGGAACAGGAAGCCACTGGAGTAATTAGAAAGGTATATTGTAGTGCATATAATCATAGAAGGATGTTTGTATTATAGTCCAACACATCATTAAGGATACAATTGTTATTTAATGTGGCACTATCATCTTTCTACTCTTCATGAAATCCACTTAAGTAATTACTTTTCTTAGCTCATTGGCTCTATGAACTGACAGTTTAGCAAAGTGTTATATCTAAAGAAATATTCAATCTCAGTTTTCATAATGCCTCCACCCTTTTTAAGTTTGATTGTTACTGCTTAGTTGGAATGACCACTGCCTCATCAGAAAAAAAAAATAGACCAGAGGATTGGGAGTGGGGGAAGAAGAGGCAATTGATTAGAAGCTTAAAACAAACATTTAAAGGTTGCAATACTGATCTGAAAAATTGGAAATTTATTAACAAAGCCCTTTTCCTCTTCACTTTCCTGTGCTTAGTTATAGAACATATTCTAAAATTAGGGATACATTAACCAATGAACTGAAATGTGTGTGCATTCTTCATTTATTTTTGCACCTGCTAACAGCAATAGGGTACTGTCACTGCAGCTTTTTAATATTTGGACTTTCTGTTTCCAGAAATGTCACCTTACTGCCTCAACGGGTGGGGGAATTTGATGAGGCCAGACGTGAAAATGGAAAATCCCAGCAGCAAGGGATGGAGACACTTCTTAAGGGACACTAAGTAGCTTTTCCCCCTGGGAGTCTCTGGCACCCACTGACCAGCTGGTGGGAGGGGTACTGTTTGGCCAGAATTCCCCAGGTCCCAGGGTTTAACCAGGTGCAGGGGCCATGTGGAGCCTCTTTTGGCTCCATTACAGCAGCCTCACCCTACCAACCCACACTAGCAATGAGAATCCAGCCAGAGAGATGCTGCAGGTCTAGCCAATCACTTGTTTGGGGGTCAGGAAGGATTTTTTTTTCTCCCATGGCCAATTGGCAGATGACCAGAGAGTTTTTGCCTTCCTTGCAGCACCTTCAAGCCACAGTGGGTTAAGTAGGAACATGCTTGTACCTAACTGAGATACTGGAGTTAAGTTTTTCATTCGTCACAATTTGCGGCTGATTTCCAGTGAGGTTAAAATGATGAAATAAATGGTTCTCAGAGGTAAAAGACCTGGTATTTTGGTGATGGGCCTTGGGCTCATGGGATAAGGTGAGACCTTGTGGCCCTCATGGGCTGAGGTCAGACCTTGTGGCAGGCCTTACCTTTCTGCACCCTCTGTCATCCTCATGGAGGGGTGGGTGCTAGGACTTAGAGAAAGCTGAGTTCTGGAGGGTAGGCTAAGGGGAACCTACCCTGAGTTACGGGTATATGGTAAGAAGCCCTGTATCTTCTTGAATGGAACCAAATGCCTGGTATAGGAGTGCATGTGTGCTGGGTTGGTAGTGCCCCTCCCCTGCGTTAAATTTTAATAAAAGTTGCAGCCTGCTGCTTAATTCCATAAATGTGTCTGTCCTCATTTTGCTACTGTGTCCACATCAAAGAAAAATTCTACAAAACAACATTGTTCAAGGTTTTATAAAGTAATAACTTTTGAAGTTACCAAAAACATTAGTTAGCCTATTTTTTTCTAACATTACTGAACTTAGATAAAAACCAATAGATATTTGAAGAAATACAACACCTATGAAATCAAACCTCATTCAAAATAAAGATCCTTACATGCATGTATATTTTAGTATGAAGTACAAGACTTTTCTGCAAAGCTTGTCTAGCATTTAGCAAAGATAACACTGAAGAGCAGTGTGTAAATTGCTAGACAATATTTTTTTTGCATTTTAAACTTTAAGCTTGTTTTCAAAAGATGTTGTGGTTTTCATGTTTACTATCATTACAACAAGGTAAGTCTGAAATACCTTTATCTTATTTGGTAGATTTGTGCTTGATGCTCTTTGTTTGAATAGAAGTGTCAGCTGTATTTTACTTTACTGTATAAAAAAGTTTCAGAATTTAATTAAGGGTCAAGTACCAGCAGTAGATAAATGCAACAGCTAAAGCATATTTCTGATCTCTCTGAAGTCTGCAATCATGAAAATTATTATCATTGAGTAAAACTGGTCTCAATGATGGTGACTGGGAGATGGAATCTGTGCTAGTCAGCCATAATTTACATAATAATGGGTTCCCAGTTTTCATCAGCACCTTTTGTTTGTACAGTGCTTACTGCTACAGTAAATTGTCAAAATGTCATTCCTATCCAATCAGCCAGAAAATATCAACAGTAAACAAGGCACAAGAAGAAATTCTCTGATTAAAAGTATGACGGAAGTAATAGTAAAACTGAAGACTCGGTAATAATCTTAGTTATAGTATTCTGGTATTTTCAATAATACAGTTGTACAGCTTATGAAACTTATTATTTTTTAATGAGAAAACAACACACAGGCTGTGATGTCATCCAAAAATCTCAACAAACTAACAGACCTTATTTGTTCACATTTGTATTTGTCATTATCTGTTTGTTTCCCTTTCCAGAGTGGCAGTCTATCGCATCTCACCAAGCACTACAGATTAAACTAAAAAAATTACCTTTGTACTTTACAATGATATGGGCTGGACGCCATAGGGCTCTAAGAATAGTACCAAGATGAGCACCAAATCCTGACTAAGACTGCTGCTCCAAATCTCTCTCTCTCTAACACACACACAAAGCCAGATGCTATTTAAATTAATATGAATTCAATGCATCTTTGAGCCACCCTCTAAAATCACAGAAGTGCAAGGAGAGGGTGAGGATGAATTAGTACAGTATACGCTTTATAACCATTATAATCACAAACTATATTAAAATTAAAGGCTTCAGATTGTGTTTCAAATAAAAATGAATAAAGTGGCACCCTGCCAAAGAGTACCAGAAACTACTCTTGTGTGGAACTGAAACATTTGGCTCATATAATACTTAATTTATTTTTATGAAATGACTAGTTACATAAATGTATATTTAAAACAGAGGAGCAAAAACATTTTTTTTTAAAAAGTTGCTTTGTATTCTGGCCCATAAAGGTTGACACAGTTACAGCCAGTATATAAACAGAACAAAAAACAATAAACTTCCCGCAAGTGGGTTTTCCAGCTATTCACTCCTAAAATGGTTTTTAAAAATGTGATCATGAAGTTGAGTCACTAAAGAAAAGGCTCACAGTACTTTCTTTTGAAAATGAATCGGAGTTTAAAAATCTATTGAAATCAAGTGTTGACATAAGGAAATATTTTGTAGTGCTTTCAGGTTTCTTTACCATTCACTTTATTTTGCTTGGCTACTTTTAATTTTGTTTCTACTTCTTCTCTTTGAAAATCCTACATTGTCCAAACCCTTTCGATTAAGCAGCTCGCCTGAATGAAAGCACTGTGATGATGTGGCGGTGCATCAATAAACAGGATGCCTCTCAAAGCTGGGCAGGATGCTGAGAAATAGGGTTGATCAGTGGTAATCACTCTGACACTTCATGCAGTACAGTGAATTAACTCCTAGGACTTTGGGCCGAATGAAGAAGTAGTAGCTGATGTTCCACATTGTGAATGCATCAGTGCCTGAACCCATTACGAGTTTAAATGGAGATGGGAATTTACTATACACATTTTTTTTTGTTGGGAATATGGAGCAGTGTGCAGAACATGAAAGTAATTCAGAATGCTGAGGGAACTGCATTTGTATTTTGTCTAAAGATCTTACATTCATTTTCTGTAAAAACACAAATAATTAAATAAAGGGATGCCCACAGCAACCATATTCATAGGAAGAAACCCACTGTGTTGAAGAAGGCACCCATGTGCCAAGTAAGTAAGTGGAATTACTCTGTGGCAAATCTACAGAAACTAAGGTACATGAAAACACATAGCAGGAGGGGAAATACAGCTAAAAAGGCAACTAGTTAGCAGCTGCCACTATGACCTTTAACTGCATCCATGGTAACTGGGCTAAAGATGGAGTTCCATTTTATTATTCTCACACCCACAATGTTAAGCCTATGAATCCCATTGCAATTTAATGGCTGAAATCAGAAGGCAGATCTGTGTTCATTGGACCAGTGCCGACATCCTCTTAGCTAATGAGCGCAATAAACATTTTCATGCCAGGAAACCAATGCAAGTGGAAATATTATGCCATACAGAAATATATCCCCCAAACACAAAGAAATGGTCAGTAAAGTCAGTTCTTTATGATCATTTGCATATAGTATAATTTTTCAGGTTTGAAGCCATGCATCTTTGAAGCAGGAAGATATTTAATTCACATGCTGTTTAATGCTGTGGCATGCAACACAGTTCATTTTACATTAAGAATTTTAAGAAGAATTATGTATTTCAGTGTTAATGCAGTACATAATGAAATGTTTCTCATTATTTTCCTAAAATCATCTTACTTTTTTAATGTATTTTTCTTTTATGCACCCATAATATATTTCATCCTCTTTTCTTGGCTATCTACAGTACCACCAACTGAGCAAAAGACAGTAAAACAGCAAACTGTTTCAACAAGAAAGAGGGCTTTGTTCTAACTTTTGTCTCTATTGTAATTTGACTCAAATAGTTTTCTTAAGAATAAGTGACAACAATGTCATATCTTTGTCATGTGAGCAGAAAGCAAGACGTAGATCATCCTTACTTGGGCTGAAGAACCAGAGCAATGACAACAGCAGTTAAAGGATCTGCACTAGATACGTCTTTGAATTCACAAGCACATCTGCCTCTGAGTTCTGTGGTTACCTGTAAAATTGAAAATCAAAGATACAGAATGTGACTAAAAACTGAGTTTTAAGCCTTTACCTGGAAAATCAGATAACTGAGGGCTATACATCATTATTTAAAAAAATATATATATAATGTTTAGCTTTACTAATACATTTTACCTGTCATCTTTTTTCAGATAAAGGCAAACCGATCTTCTACTAACACAACAGACTGTTGAAAAGTATGAAACTTTGACTGTGTAAATGTACAGTTAGTAGATGAAGATCACCAAAAATCTCCTGAATTCTTAGGTAAACCTACCTTATTTGCTTCAATACTGTGCAGTCAAAGACATAAAACTACATTAGTTCATTCACTGAGAGTAATAAATAAAATATTTCTGTCTCTCACAGTCAACTTCCTCCTCCATCTTAAAATATATCAGAATTTTATTTTTGGTAAAATGTTAGCCCAGCATAAAAGAGAGAGGGCTTAATAACTTTTCCTGACAATATATATATATATATATAGTCAAGGTAAAAGTTATTAAGCCCTCTCTCTTTTATGCTGGGCTAACATTTTACCAAAAATAAAATTCTGATATATTTTAGGATGGAGGGGGAAGTTGACTGGGAGGGAAAGAAATATTTTATTTATTATTCTCATGGA